AGTCATTCTGCACTTGCTCAGCCTGTTGTTCAACCGCTCCTTGCTGCTGTCAAGTTACCCCGTGTATGGCTTCATAAGCCATGACATTAAGGGGTAGGCTGGGTCTCCCAGAATCACAATGGGCATTTCAACTTCCCCTACGCTGATCTTCTGGTCCAGGAAGAAAGTCCCTGCTTGCAGCTTCCTGAACAGGCCAGTGTTCCGAAAGATGCGCTCATCATGCACCTTTCCAGACCAGCCTCCGGTAATGTCTGTGAAATGCCCACGGTGATACACAAGCACCTGGAGAACCATTGAGAACTACCCCTTGCGATTAATGTAATATGCGTGCCATCTATCGCCCCTCGGCAGTTAGGGAAGCCCATTTGTGCAAACCCATCTACAATGTCACGCACATTCCCCAGAGTCACGGTCTTTCAGAGCGGGATGGGATTAATGGCCCTGCAGACTTCCATCAAGTCCAAGGATCAACTTTCCCGCCACTCAGTGCTTGTTTCCCAAGCCCAAACGAGGTGTTCCACTGTGTTCAGCACCTCCGTGAATGCCACAAGCAATCTCGTATCGTAGCTACTACGCGTGGCGAGATCAATGTCACACTCCTCTTGCCTTTGTAGTTTAAGGAATAACTCCATTGCCACTCGTGACGTGTTGGTCAGAGCGAGCAACATACTGGTCAACAGTTCGGGATCCATTCCTGCAGCCCGAAGAGGCAGGCCACGCAATACACAAACCCGTTGAAAGATGGCGCTAAATGCGGACGGAAGCACAGGGATTGCTGGGATGCGAAGCAATGCATCATGGGGCATTACGACAGGACCTAGGATGCCCTGTGACACCCTCCGCCTTCCCACAACTCTTAGCGGCAGAAGAGAAAGAGGTGCACTGTGGGATAGCTGCCCAGAGTGCACCACTCCGAATACCGCTGCAAGTGCCACAAGTGTGAACACGCTATTGCACAGGCAACTGACAGTGTGAACACACAACAGCGGTTTCCATCACTTGGAGTTGAATAGATGGACTCTTCTCTCTCAAGCTCGGCTCTAGCTCGATCCCCAGCTACGGGCTGGATGCAGGAATCCCTGGGTCATTCTCTGGTCCGTGCAGTGTGAGAGGTCGGATCAGCCTGCTCCCTTCCTGGCCTGAGAATCTCTGAATGAATGGCTCGGCCTTCGCTCCAAGGGAACTGTGATGCCGTCACCTCCCCACGCTCCCTCATCCT